CCTTCCAACCCCTGACATTCTGTGATTCTGCTGTCTATGTGACCCTCCTGACTGGTGCTGTTGCACTGGTGTGGCACAACTGGTGCAGCTGTGAATGAGCTGGGTATTTGCTTGCATCCTGAAGAGCAAGTAACTGGATGGTGATGCATATGTGTATCACTGTCTTAGCTCCTCTGCCCAATAGGATGTGCTGACTGGGCTTGCTGGCTGCGCACACTTGCATGTGGCAGTCTTACACTGCTCTCTGGTGGTACTCATTCAGCGGCTGTGGTGTGGTGACACTCAGAGTCCTTCACATCGACAGGTCTCCGGGACCATGTCCATCTGCTGTGGGTTTTAAATGCAATTGGGAATCACTGCAGAGTGACTCATCCAGTCTCGGCCTTTGCCGTGGGAGTGACAGCAAGTACGCTCTCACCAGTGTTCATGGCCAAGGGCTTTTCTTTGCTCAGACACTGCTATTTATCTTGCTTCATGAGAGGCTTATCATTACTGTGGAAAGGCCAAGACTGAGCTTGCTCAGGGATTGACCGGCCAAGCGAGAGGCATTTCCTTGTGAAGCGGTGAATCAGCAACCCGTGCTGGCTGAGCTCAGCAGGACCGTGACAGTTGTTTATTCCTTTTCCTGGGATGAAGGGGAAGGGAATGGGCAGGATCTGTGCAACCATGTCCTCTCTCATGGCAACAGTTGCTGCTTCAGCTACAGCCGTGACAGTCCTCTCCCTGCCCTGCCTCAGGACAGAGGGTGGCTGTCACAACGGGGTGACCCAAACTGGAGAGTTTGGCTTTGGTTTCTAACCATCGCTTTCCCTTCCTTTCCCACTGGTAATTTTGTCATCACTGCTGACCCCTCCGCTGGCCTGTAATTCCCCCCTGCCCCATCCCGTGGCTGTTGCTCCAAGGCATGGGCGCAAGCAGAGGCGACGGTGGGGCTGTGGACTCGAGGGCCAGCTGGGAGCTGTGCACCCCTGGCTAGCCTGGTGCTGAGCTGGCTGTCAGTTTGCTGAATGGGAGGAGAGAGAAGGGAAGGGAGACGGGGCTAGCAGGAAAGAAAGTTTTATGCAGGTTTGTGTTTCCCAGGGCTGTGTGGCTGCAGCAAGCCAGACGTGTGTGCACAGCACAGGTCCTGCCTGCACGCTTCCCTGCTGCACGAGTTTGCTGTTTCTGCACCAGGTCCTGGTGGTGGGACAGCCACCACCTCAGCTGGGGTGCTGGGAGGCCTGGAGCCGTGCTCCCGCAGCCCTTCGCTCGGGTCCTTCCCTTCTCCCGTGGTGGTGCCGTGCGCTGGCAAACCGCCTGCCAAGCACGCGGTGGCAAACCATGTGCTGAGGACTGGAGCCAGTAACGGTGGCATAACTAATGCCTTAGGCCCCCTGCTCTGTGCTTGAAGTCCTTTGCGATAGGAAGTTCAGTAAGGATGCAAAGGAGCTATTAATTGCTTGTGGTTTGTTGCTTATTTTATTTGTGTCACCATATGGCAATCGCCTGTGCCTTTCAGGTGTTAACTTTAAACCCATTCAAGCTTCCCCCTCTATCCAAGGACCTCCTGAAACTTTGAAATCCCAAGACTTCCCCCTTCAGCACAGATTTCACTCGAGAGCTCTCCTAATCCCACTTGGAGTGGGAGGGTGGACTGCGGACCTCCAGAGGTGGCTTCCAGCCACCTCTGGTGCGGTTCCATGAACTCAGAGGCTGGCGATGGCAGGGCTGTGTAACCAGCTTCCTTCGGTGTGCCTGAGCAGGCGTGGCCAGCCTTTTTGGAAAGGGTGTGTTTGGGCAGAAACATTGTGTTGCTGCTGTGGTGGGACTGAAACTTGTAAGCATGGGGAGGTCAATAGTATTACCACAGTGTCACGGGTGACGTATGTCTGGTTTTGTTGCTGAAAGCTATAAAACCAAGCCAGGTTGTTAGAGCAGCAGTTGGTATTTTTCCTCTAATGCTTATTTAAGCAGTCAGTTATTTAAAGATGAGCGTAAGAACCATCCTGGTTTTCTTCCAATTCAGTATCTTTTGGCCATGTGTCTTTCAGTCCAAGTCAGGAATTTTTTAGTCCCAGATGTGGTTAAAGTTGGGTGTTTGTATTTTCCTTGGAGGCTGGGGTGAAGCACAGACTGTCCTGGACCACAGGCTCAGTGATGTTTGGCAGCCGCCTTGTGTTAGATTTTAAAAGGCTCTGGTAGCTACTGCACAGCAGCAGAACTGTGGATTCTGACCTGGACAGTCCCAAAGCTCACTGCATTCCTGGAGGAACACGAAGTGGTCCCTAAGCAAAAAATCTTTCTCATGGTTGTCAGTTGTTTCTGTGATGCTGGCTTGAGAGAAGGCAGGGAACAAAGACTGTGAGTGACCTGGGTGTTTAATATGTGATCTGGTTCTTCCCCAAGTTCTGGACTTTCCTGGTTTGTGGGGAGAAATGATACTGGTTTTAATTAGATTGTGGGAGTTGTGTCTTCTGCAGGCTTGCCTGCGGTATTAGTCCTGACTGCAGCTGAACCCAAGCTAGAGCACAAGTACAGATAGTTGATTAAAGCAGATTCCAGAAATGCCCATGCTTTACCGAAGGTGATGAGACTGCTTCTTTGGGATGTAGAAGTGTTGGTGATAAGGGACCTCTGGAGGTCTCTAGTCTAACCCCTATTTGGAACAGGACCATCCCCAGGCCTAGGTCAAGTCAGCTATGGCTTTATCAAAGTAAGCCTTGGAAACCTTAAGGGACACCCTCCACCTCTCTGAGTATCTTTTTCAGTGCTGCATCACCTCCCTAGTAAAGAGTTTTTATCCTAATGTCCGTTTGAACCTCCTAAGCTGCAACTCATGGCTCTTCCCTCTTGTTACACCATCTGCTGCTTTAGGCGAGGAAACTGCTGCATCGAAGACGTGAAATGAATTTTTCTGTATCATGTGCAGCATCACATTTCTCTGTGAACTGCCAGCAGCGGGCATGGAACTTCTAGCTCTTGCCTGAGCTCTGCAGAAAGGCTCGGAAGAAGAGCATGGGGTGTTGATCGCTTTTGTGGTTCTTATGTTCCCTTGGGGTTCTTTCTCCTGTTCAGGCTTGCATCAGATCTCACAGAACAAGGTGGCGGTGCTGCTCCTGGCTGGAGGACAAGGAACTCGCCTGGGAGTGAGCTATCCCAAGGGCATGTACAACGTGGGGTTGCCCAGTGGCAAGACCTTGTATCAGATCCAAGCAGAAAGAATCCGCAAGGTGGAGCAGCTCGCTGGCCAGAGACACTGCTGCAAGTGTGCCATCCCCTGGTAGGTGACCTGGAGCCGCAGACCTGCTGTGCAGGGGTCTTTACGTTGCAGTTCTGCTTATTTTGTCTTCTGGAAGCACTTTGGTGGGTGCCATACAGAGACCCGTCAGGGGGGAGAGCCTTTTGTTGGCAGGATTTGCGGGAGCTGGATGAGGGTGTGCAGGGATGGGAAGTGGCAGGTCCATGTCTGCAGGTCTGAGGGACCAAGCACTGCCCTTGAATCACTGACCACTACCCTAACTGCCATACTGTGCTGTCTTTTCAAGCCCAGTCCCTGACAACATTATGAACAGCACTTTTCAGTGCCTGTTTCAGATGCTTCCAAGAGGCTTCATCCATTTGTGTCATGCTTTCTCAGGTTCCTGCGTGGAGGGAGAGATACCCTCCAAGATCCTCTGCTTCCTCTGCTCACCCCCCAAGATCCTCTGCCTCCCCTTGCATGCAATGTCTGCCACAGCAAAAAACCTCCCGCTTGCAATAGTGAATGCTTGTCATGCTCCGTTTTCAGGCCACCTCCTGCTGTTGTTGTTTACAGCTGGCTGCTGTCTCTCCTGACTGTTCCTGGCGTTCAAAAAGCTTCAGAAGAGACTAGCTCTATGCAAGGTGCAAAATATGAATTCCCTGTGGGATGTGGTGTGTGAGAAAGAGGAAGGCACTGCAGCATGCTTCTGGGAATGCTTTCTGCTAAGTGTTCTTTGTTACGCTGTGAAGAGAGACCTTTATGGAATCACTGTCTGGTCTGAGCCAGGGTTTATGAAGAGTGAAGGAGCAAGTGGCTGAGGTCTTCAGGGTAGCACATTGTTTTACAAATTGGGATCGAAGGTGATCCCAGCCCATGTTGTGTTTCTTTCTGAAGCCATGCATGTGTGTCGTGAATTGCAAATGCACCATCCCTGGTGCTGCTGGAAGCCAGGACGGGTTATCTGCAGGATGCAACATCTGCTGATAATGTTTACGGTTCCTCTCCCCGGGCTGAGGAGGCAGTTGGCTGCTACAGTACACCAGAGGCCAGGCTGTGCTGTGCTGTGAAGATGTAAATCAGGGGGTGTGTGAGGTCCAGGCTCTCCTGTGCAAGGGTTCGATTCCCCTAGCGTGCTGGCAGAGGACCCCGTGTACCTATGCCCATAGCTGTTGAAGTGCATGCCGGGTAGATAAGATGGTGCTTAGCCACTGTTGAAGAAGGAAGATAGTGGAGGGAGAGACGGCAGCAATGTGGAGCTAGAAGGAGAGGAGGAAATAGAGAAACTTGAGAGAAAAACAAATCATGCAGCCAGCATTTGAAAATGCTGCTGTTCACCTTGGCACAGAAGAGGCACTGGCAGACTTTGCTGCTGGGGATTTGCAGCTCTTTGTGCTGGGACACCTTGTGCTGGTCAATGCTTCTTTAGACACTTAACATCCATTTGAATCTAGGGTGAACGAGGCTGTTGTACTGTCCTTTGCCTTGTTTTCCAGCTCATCCGGATGTCATTCACGTTTAGGGAAACGTTCCTGGCTAGAGCTCAGCCTGTGGGTAGGATCGTGCACAAGACCCTGTGGAGCCGTCCTGTGGGTTGGGTTCTAGAGGAGAGCTCTCCTGCTCGCTTCCATGCTGCAGGGTACTGTAGTGTCTCTCATTTGACACTCGGGCTTCCTCCCTTTCGTGTTCCAGTTGTAGTTTTGGCTTTCGCTTGTGCATCTCTTGCTCATTGCTCAGCACCTCTTCCTGTCCAGGTACATCATGACAAGTGAGTTCACGCTGGGGCCGACAGAGGAGTTTTTTGTAGAACATGACTACTTCAACCTGGACAGATCCAACGTGGTCATGTTTGAACAGAGGATGCTGCCCGCTGTCACCTTTGATGGGAAGGCTATCTTGGAGGAGAAGGGGAAAATTGCTATGGCTCCAGGTACCCCACTGTTCACTCTTACATGGTACAGTAATGTAATATGTGTTGATAATTGCTACTAGCCATCAGCCAACTGTAGCACATGGCTCAGTCTTTGGAGGTCAGTGTTAATGCTTCTGATTAGTGTGGGAGGGCTCAGTTAAATGTTTCAGGCTGGTAATCAAGAATGTAGCAATCTCTGTTTAGTTCCTGCTGGAGATTTGCCCACAGCACGGAGGTTTTATCAAAGCCTCGGAGTATTGGCAGCGTTAGGAGTGGTGCAGCTGCAGGTTAGGAACAACGGGCATCAGCAGGGCTGTGCAGGAGGTCCCTGGGGTGCTGCCTCCCGGGGTGAAGTTGTCGGGAGCCAGACTCCTGTTCAAGGCTGATAACTGGAAATGGGTAAAAAAGCAGCAAGGAGATAACTCTTTCCAAAATTATTGCAGTGTCTCACCTAGTTACATTCTCCTCTTCTCTTAAGCAGGACATGGTAAGAGACTTGGTGAAGGCGGCCCAGTCAGGGCCATGTTGCGGTGATGCAGTTCTGCAGCTGCAGGGTGGTTTTCCTGAGCTGAGAGGGGTTTCAAAGGAGGAACTGTGAAAGGGTGATCGGTGATGAACACCTGCACGTTTGTCTTTTGTGAAGCTGCAGTTCAAGCCTTTAAAAAGGCATTGGGAAGTTGCAGGGGGAAGATAAACAGAGAATGAGATTTATTTTAGTCTTTTTTCTCCAAGCTGAGTTTTAAATATGCTTTTGCTCTGCACTGTGAAAGGAGAAATGTAACAGGCTTTTCCCACCCTCTGCATAATGTTTTGCCCTTTAGTGTTTTCCCTCTGAGGATCTCACAAGGCTTCATAAAGTCTCTTAATGCTTCTCTGTGAGGCTGGTTCCCACAGTCCCACCCTGCAGGTGAAGGAGCTGGGGTGTAGAGGGGAACAGGCTTGCCTGAACTGTGTGGCAGAGCTGGAAATAAAATCTGGTAGCACTGACTCTTGGCTAGAAAGCATTCCTTGCTCTGCTGTTAAAGAAAGTTTGTTCAGGACTTTCAACTTTTGCTCTGTTAGCTGCAAAAAAACCCCAAAGTGACTAATTAACCAGGGCTTTCTCTTTTCTCTTGCATTATAGATGGCAATGGTGGCTTATACCGTGCTTTGGTTGATAATAAGATCTTGGATGACATGAAGCAGCGTGGAGTCCAGTATGTCCACGTATACTGTGTGGACAATATCCTCGTGAAAATGGCAGATCCAGTCTTCATAGGGTTTTGTGTTTCCAAAGGGGCAGATTGCGGTGCAAAGGTGAGGCGGTGCTAATGCTGGGCTGTTTCCCCATGGGAGTTGGGGTCTGGTTATGCTTGGGAGCTGCTGGTTGGGGTGCGCGTAGATGAACCTGAACTGGGGTGCTCAGACCTCAGCCCAACAGCGTCTCGCTCCAGGTGGATTTAGAGGATCTGCTTGCTGCCTGCATCGCATTCAGAATCTCCGCCGGTGCGGAGAGTCCTCTGCCCTCCCCAGAGTGCTGTGGAGAATAAACTTTGATTAGAGCAGGGGCTGTAATTGCACAGGAAACTGCAAACTGGAATTGCTTCCCCTTTATGCTCTGCCCTTTCTACAAAGGCACATGGGCTGTCTAGAAGCCATATTGGACTGAGTTGTGTTTTATAAATTCACCTTTAAGTCTAACAGAGGCATTCCTTGTGCCTCCATTCCTTACGGAAGATGGGGAAAGCCAAACCAGCCTGGGTTGGTCACCCTAATGCAGCAGGGGCCTGAGGAGAGGTTTAAGTTACTTTAATCTTTAACACTGTTCATGCAAACAGGGAGCTGAAGGCTAATAACTGCAAACATTTTTTCAGCCAGGTCCCAGTTCTTGATAAGGAAAGCACCCGACAGTATGCTGATTTCTCTTAACTGGTTTGTCTTCAGAGCAGCTGTGCAAATAGGTGGTCGAGTACTGGGTTTTATGCCCAGTTGTTGGGCAAAATGTGCCTCCAGGCTCCTCTGTATGCCCAGCACTGCCCTGCCCGTGCTCCTGAGGCACTGGGCAGTCAGCATGCAGCAGTCCCGTAGGATCGTTTGTACATGGGAGTTGGAATAGTGCCGGGATGTTCTTCCTCCTTGTCATAGCCCTCTGTCCTGTGGCGGCAGGTGGTGGAGAAGGCCTACCCCACAGAGCCTGTTGGGGTGGTGTGCTGTGTGGATGGGGTCTACCAGGTGGTGGAGTACAGTGAGATCAGCCTGGAGACTGCGCAGCAGCAAAGGCCCGATGGGAGACTGATGTACAGCACTGGCAATATCTGCAACCATTTCTTCACAGTTGAATTCCTGGAGACAGTGGCCCAGTAAGTTCCAGCAGACCTGCTAGGCAGCTGTGCAGCCCAGAAATGCCTCCAAGAGCGGGTCCCACTCTGTGACTTCAGTTATGGTTACCTCCTGCTCCGCTCTTCATCTCCTCTCTGCTCTAAACAGTTCAAAACAGCTGTGTCCCCTTTCTGACAGCTTCAGCATGCACTTCAGGCCTTACCAATGCAGAGGTCACATGCTTTGCTGTAGCTAAATCGACTGAGATATACCAGTGCATGACCTTCCTGGGCTTGCAAGGGTGAGCAGCCCCGTGGGCTGCAGTGTGGGCAGTGATGCAGCCCCACCCTGGGGATTTTCAATGGGAATGTCACCTACACTATCCTTGGGACAACAGAGGTTGGGGGAGAGAGTGAAGCTGCGGGAGGACTCTGCACCTTGATGTTGGGAGATGGGGGTGTGATGCTGGGCATTCAGTGAGCGGCCATATGGCCTTCCTGAAGAGCTTGATCCACCCTTGCGTGAGGGATCTGCTCTGCTTCGTTGTCATCCTGGTCAGATAACAATTTGGGTTACCTTCTTTTATATCTGCCTGTAATTTCAGCTTGATGCTAGGTCCTCCCTCTCCTCCTGCTTTGCCCTGTCATGTCCGACTGGTACAGGGAGCGCCGTTGGCCAGGCTGCTCTGCTCAGTGAAGTGTTTCTTGGATGTGTCTTGGATCAATTTGGAGAGAGCAACACCCACAACAGTTGAGAGATGACCCAGAGCAGTAATAAGCTATCTGCTTTCCAGAAGTATACTACTTTTTTATAAGTGGGCATGAAGTAAATGAACTTCTTCTTTTGCAGGAAATATGAGCCACAGCTGAGGCATCACGTAGCCATAAAGAAGGTGCCCTACATTGACGAGGAGGGAAATCTGGTAAAACCGCTAAAACCGAACGGGATAAAGCTGGAGAAGTTTGTGTTTGATGTGTTCCAGTTCTCTAAGTTAGTGGCAGACATGATTTTATTTTTTTCCTCCCCTTCTCAATGTTTGTTTGAACAACTGTAGGTTGTAACAGGCCTTGCCAGGGAGTGCGTGGTTTGTGGGTGGCGAGTTAGGAAGGGTGTTGGATCGACACCAAGGTCCAACACCATGGTAACACCGCAGGTTCTGAGAGGTGCGGTCTCAGGGTCCTCGGCGGCAGCCAGGCTTGCTCTGACTGTGCTCTTGGACTGTTTGTTCTGCCGAGGATGTGTTGGCTGTCCCGGCCTCTGCCATCCCTGTGAAAGAAAGAGGAGAGAAAAAAAAAAAAAAGGGAAATCGAGCACAAAGCCAACGTTTAATACAAGCCCATGTTAGAATATTCAGACTTGAAAAAATCTTGTCTTTCCGGATTGTGGCTTCCATGGCAACTGCAGCTCCGGTTAGGTTTTTGCTGCTGTTCTGTCAGGGCTCAGCTCACACCCTTCGGGCTCGGAAAAAACAACCCAGGTTGTTTAAGCACCGTGGGGCCAAGTTAGTGTTGCTGTGGAAACTGTCAGTGTTGACTTGCCAAGCTCCAAAACATAGCTGGGAGTGCTGTGCCGTAGTGTTAGCGCAGTCAGGGGGACTTTGTGTTTAGGGAATGTGGGATTTTAATAATTTAGGAATTTAGAGTAAGTGTTCTTATAAAACCTATTTTCCAAGGCCTCAAATTCAGCAGTAAAGATTCTGTTTTAGGCTTAAATGCAAAAAGAGAGCTCAGGCAAACTGAATTATCTTTGTTTGGGGACAATATTTTTCCTTTTAGAGGATTCACTTTAGGATAGAGAGCTCAAGGTTTGAACCAGTCTCCATTTCCTGACACACGTTCAGTAAAGTATCATTCCAAAGGCAAAACCAGTGTGATGGAAATAGTGCTGAGTTCTGAGCTTTGAAAGGACTCTTTTGCAAGCAGTGATTCCTTGTGCTTTTCTTGTAATACTGCAAAATGAGCATGTCAGCTGCTCTTCACGTGTGACATGCAGAAACACACAGATGCTGCTGTGGGACTTTTTAATTTGCATTCCCATTTCTGGTAAACAGCTGTACTTAACACTGAGCTGTGAATCCTCCCATATTGCTTATTCATCCCTGGGAACTGGTGTCCTCAGCTGATCCTTGCCTACAGACGCCCAAGTGGCGTGACCGTTGCGTGGAGCAGCAGCGCAGCGCTCTGAGGTGAGCCGCGCAGCTGGGGGCTGTGTCCGAGCTTCAGGCGTCGCTGCTGTCCCTCCTGCCCTGCTCTTAGTTGAGACTTTTTGTCCGCAAGCCTCCCAGTGCCTGGAGAGGTTTCGGGGGGATCTCTGCAGATCTCTGCTTTTCCTCTCACCTGTGCACAGCTCTGGGGGGTTGTGAGGCTGCTGTTGTGTTCCCAAAGAGACTGGGCTTCTGGCTGTGCTTTCTGTCATACAGCCCTGGTGGTACTTTGCTCTTCAGATGGGAGGTGGGCTTTCCTTAGCTTGGTGGCCCAGGCTGCATACGTCCCTGCTCCCTAAAATGTAGGTGAGCCTTTCCCCATGGAAGTGGTTGTTGCATTAACAGGGTTGATGGCTAGCTTTGTTTTTTGTTATCATTGTTTTCTCCCCTTTGCTGGTAGGAATTTTGTGGCATTTGAAGTTTTGAGAGAAGAAGAGTTCTCACCACTAAAAAATGCAGACACAGCTGACAAAGATACTCCCACCACTGCTCGGCAAGCCCTCCTGGCCCAGCATTGCCGCTGGGCTCTCAAGGCTGGGGCCAGATTTCTGGATGAAAACGGTTGCAGGATACCAGAGAAACTCAGGTACGAACCTCAGTGACCTTCTCTGCAGCTTCTCTGCCTGTGGCTGCCCAACTGTGCCAGCTAGCTAATGGCATGGGGCGACTCGGCAGGATTTTCATTCCGGTGGTCTTTTCTGAACGTGCAGAGAAATGTCTGTTACAGCTCCTGCTCCATGAGCGGATGTTCTTGTTTTGATGAGAAATATTTGGGACCTGCTAATTCCCTTTTATTTTCACACTTTGTGTTTGAATAATATCTGGTGCATGTGAATGTAACAAACATCCTTCTGGATATTCTGTTCTTTTGAAGAAGATGCACCATTTTTTAAGCATAGCAAGAAGTTAATCCTGTGTTCTCTTCTCTAGTCTCTCAGCAACTGAAGATCCTCCAGCTGTGTGTGAGATTTCTCCATTAGTGTCATACTTTGGAGAGGTGAGAATAACTATATACGGAGGTATTTTTTCAGACAGTGCGGGTACACACCTGATTCCCTTCCAAACACAGGGGATTTCTTTAGCCTGGGCTTGCTGAGAGATGGTAAGATCAAGGGGACAGGGACGTGGCTCTGTGTTATGTTTGTAGTTCCACTACAGTTTATGCTTCGCTCTCAGTTTTAGCCATCTGTAAAATGAGATTTGCAGTGAGGCTGCACAGTTTCATTAAGACTCACAAGTAGTTTGAGATCTTCTGAATGAAAAGTGCAGAATTTTCAAATGAAAAAAAATCCACAGGGTCACACACACAACATACGCAGTTGTATGCTAGTTTGTGCCGTCTCACACAGTGAGTGCGTGCTGAATAAGTGTGATATGTGCATTGGCTTTAGAGAAGCCACGTCTTGGATGTCTCAGCTTTGTCCCTCTGGAAGTAATTGCTCCTGGGAGAGCTGCTTCCGTTTAGTGGTGAGAAGAGGAGCTTCCCTGTGGTGGGCAGGCAGGGTGAGAAGCAGTGGATTGCAGGATGATACATGGGCACTGTGGGAAAGGGTGTTCGCAAAACTTCACACCTTTGCTAGGTTCTGCCTGTAGGTAAGGCAGCAAACTTGTTGCAGTTGACGTGTTGTAAGAGCAAAATGAAAACAAGGCAGTTGGAGTTGAATTTTCTCTGCTAGGATTCTGCTGATGCGAGTTAGGGACACGCCTTCCCATCCTGCCCCTCCCCAGGAAGCTGGTTTCGGAGATCCATTGTTTTACGGCTCATCGGTGCCTCTCCTTCATGTACCCTAGGCTTGGGGCTGAAAGGCTTTCCATCTCTGTCACTGGGGAGACGGTTGCTGTTGTCTGTTCTTCCCGTGACCTTTTAACTTCGGGCAGTCAGTTGTTCTTTGGGGACGTTATGTAGACTTGAAAGCAGTGCAGGTAACCAGTCTGATGCATTTACAACCTAACAGTACTGTTTTCACACATTCTCAGGGTCTGGAGGCGTACATGAAGAACAAAGACTTCCCTTCTCCCTTTGTACTTGATGAAAACAAAGCTGAAATGCTAGGAAATTCTTGAAGAGGAGGGAGACCTTTCCCCCTCAAATCGGATGTCTGTCTGTCAGATCCATTATAAGAACTGACATTACTAAAATGTCAGCTATGAAGTGCGTTATAAAAAAAAAATTGCTTTGCAGTATGGGATCGATGCCAAATCCTTGCAGCAGTTGTGTTTGCACACATGTGCGTGCTTACCAGCTCTGCTTGGTAACCTCGAAGGCTGCACCTTTTACCTCAGTCTGTTTTGTAGACTTGGATGCGAATGAAGATTCATACCTTCTGAGCACTAAGCAGATTTTGTATTTCTTATTTGCTGTGCATATGAATATGTAGAAGTATTAGGGTCTAATAATTCAGCTTTGCATTCAAGAAGATTAAATCTCTTCAGTGCCTTGTTTGTGCTGGTGAGGTTGGCGGTTTTTTTGGTTTTGTTTTTTAAATTGTGGGCACAGCTGAGGAATCAGTTTGATCCGTCCTTCCCCTAATCCTGTGCTGGTTAGGAGACGCAATTCAGCACTTGCATCCTCCAGCCAGATCATCCAGAGGAGCCTGCTGTAGGCAGGGATGCTGCTGTGTGTCAGTGTTGCTTGAGGTTTGGACTCCAAAGCAGAAGAGACTCGTCTGCATATCGAGGCTCGCTCGTACCACTCCAAAAAAACATAAGTAAATACGCAGCTTAGACTGATTGCTCTTTACAGCTGCAGTAACCTGGGGTTTTTGATGTGAAAAAATTACCATCTTTTTTTAAACAACCCTCTGCTCTTCCTGTCTATAACAAACATTTATTTTACTTTTCATTTTTCTGTTCAATGTATGCCGTATCCCTCAAAAGGGGCTCTTTTGCAGTCCCTGAGAGCAATAAGAGGATCAACTCCTGATGGTAAAATTTAATGCTTAACCAAAACAACGAAAAGAAAGACTTAATCCCAGCATAACCAGTGTACACGGTGAAACACCAGCCCCCTGCTTCTACAGTTTCTGGCCAGGTAGTTTGCCAGCACTCTTTCGAAGTAATTCTTTAGATGCCTGCCTTTTAACTATGTCACTAACCACAACGTAAAGATGAGGGTCAGCTAATGAAGAACGCTAATTGCTGGAGCAGATGTAGCATGTGAACTCAGCCCTGGCCACGGGATCCCGGCGTGGCTGTGGTCCACGAGTGCTTGTTCCTGTTCAGCCTTTGAATGCTGCCCCAGCAAGCCTGGGCCAGGTGGGCACCTGCCTGCCGGAGGACCTGCGCTGAACACACCAGTCATGTCACCCTTCGGGAGGCTGCATCTGGGGCTCTGCTGGGTGGCCTTTGCTTGAGGAGCATGCCCCACTTTTCCCCTAAATCAGGTGTTAAGGAAGGCGGTGAGGAAGATGCCTTATCTGGAATGTTGCTGTTTCATGCATCTGCTTCGACTGAGGAATTGCCGATGCCGTTTTATTAAGCATAAATCTTTTAAATAACTTGCGTGGCTTTCTGTAATTCCTGACATGGAGCTGTATTCACAATGTTGGGGAAGTATAAAAATGGCTCCGAGAGTGAATACAGTTTATAAGTAGGCTCATGTTTTCCAAAGAAAGCGTCCAACTGTCACTGGCAGAGGTTTCAGGTATAAAGTGTTTCTGCATGCACACAAGTAATAAGCCTTTTGCCCATGCAGACCAGCTAGTGACAGTTCTGATTACCTCAGTTTGCACGTGCAGCCAGTAATTCCCATTTTCAGTATAAATTAAGCATTTGTCCTTGACACTTAATTCTGTAATTTTTTTCATGCAGTGTTTCTATGGGTTATTCCATTCCTGTCAGTCAAGTTTTATATCTGAGAGCAAATTGTGTTGTATTGTTGTGAGTATTGCTTGTTGATTCAGACATGTTCTTGTTTTAAATTGCACTGTGCTATAAAGAAAGAATACTCCTTTTGCTCTTTCTGAAGTGCTTTCTCTTTTGAGACTTATGTTTCTGTGTGCTTCAGTCATGTGTACGCTGAGCTGCTGACATGGTTTTTAGAGGCTGTTTTCAAGGAGAAGCTGAATTAGAATGCCAAATGCCTTGTCTCTTGGTTTTTTTCCTATGACTTCTCATATTTTAAACTAGAACACAAAGAATTTTTGAGAACTTTTTTAAAAAAATAAATCTGTCCTGTATGTAACAAAGTGATTCTAGTCTGCATTATGGAATGAAGAAAGTACCTGAAACAAAGGGAGGTCCCGTAGTATTCCAGAAACTTTTGGACATCTATACATTTTTCTAATAAAGATGTTACTGTGATTTTTATGTGTCTGTCTGTGTTTCTTGTCCACAAGGAAAATACGCTTGTTGAGTTTGTCCCTACATGTCATGGGGGCTGTCACCACAGCTGCAGGACGCTGAGACCGTGTCACTGGTGGCATGGCTGGAGGCTGCAGTGCCTCCAGTGCAGTCAGATGTACAGGGGAATGTGGAACTCGGAGAGTAATTCCTGAAGGGGTTTGACATTGTGGGGTGTATTTTTTCATCAGAAAACTGAAGACTCCGTTCTTGCCTGCAAACCTGTTTATTTTTCTTTCCAAGCTTTTCAACTCGATTTACTGAAGGGAGGGAGTTTAACTGGGGGTGGCGTGTGGTTTTTCTTTTATTTAAAGTAGATCTGAGCGATCTGCATCTGAGTCAGGCTTTCACAGCTGTGGTGAGGGAACGAGTGCTCCCTGTAACGCAGCTTTTGCTTGGCTTCCCAGTGACAGGCACTTCTTAAACAGGGCTCTGTTACAGGACAATCAGTAGGGGGAAGTTAGGAATTTTTCACAGATGACAGATTGTCCTCTTTTGGGGGTGTAGTGCTGAACCCAGCAATGGTCAGAAGTAGATGTTCTTCCTTCCTTACCTGTTTCACCCCGTGTTTCTCTTTTGACACCCATGTGAAGGCTGCTGGGGGTTTTACTGTGTTTCTAAGCTACATGAACCTGTAGTTTCCTGTAACAGGAAAATAAATAGTAAAAATGAATGCATGCTTCAGGCTTTTGTTAAATTGTTCCTCTGTTTATGTGGAGTGTTCATATCTACCAGAATTGTTTGCTTGTTTTTTTTTTAATCATGAAATGCTCAGAAAAACACCAAAATTTCATTTTTATCTGGAAAGCCAGTGTGAGGAGGATTGCAAATTTAAAGGCTCAAATGATGCATGTTAACTGAGTAGCTAGGTATGGCTGAAGGTGAAGGTAAGGTGCACCTAGAGCAGTAGTCTTAAAGCAGCTGTTTCAACAGTTTCTTTTTCCTGTTGCACTACAAACCTGCTCTAGAAGTAATGGTTATTCCAAAACCAGTCATGTTTGTCTCTGAACATGTACATTGCTGAACAGTACCCTCCTCTGTTCCTCTACACGCACCAAGAACATCCCTCCTCCTCCCCAGCAAAGATGCACAGAACTATTTGCACAGGGAGTGACAAAGGGCTGGGGGTCTGTGGAGAAACAGATGAGGGAGGGAATTATGTGGGACAAGTGGATCCTGCTGAGTCAGTGCCAGGTCTTATGGAAGGATAACACAACTGCTTAAGTTGCTTTTCACCCACTCACACGCAGATACTAGTTGTCCACTCTCAGGTTTGTGTTCCCATGTTGTCTGCCCAGGACTGTGTGTGATGCAGAAGATGAGGGATACCAGCTGTCAAACGTGTCTCTGGGGTTCTCGCTGGCAGGTGGCAATGACAGTGGGCAGCCTTTCTCTGTCCTTGGGGAGTCAACAGTTGTTTGGGGTTTTCCTTCACTGTGTTCACCCTCCCGGCGGGTGGAGCAATGGTGCCTGTGGTGCAGCACGAGTGTCTTCTGCTGCGTGGCTGGTGCTGTGGCCTCACCAGAGCGTGGTTCTCCAAGCTGGATGGGACCTGCACCTTCCTGGCCTCAGCCGAGGGGAGTGCGCAGGCCCGTCCGTTCATTGGCATTGAGGGTTTTTTCCTGATGACCTCCCGCACGCGCATGTCCATGTATGTTTCTCTCATGCCAGTATTTGTAGGACTGGTCTCTATGTTATAATCCCACCACACAGAGGAAGAGCGAGGGCTCCTGCCTCTCCTTGCGCCCCGTTTCCCGCCCAGGCAGGGGTACCCCTCGTTGGCCTGGCTTTGTGTCGAGAGCGGGTGAAGCGAGGGCCGGCAAGGGGAAAGAAATTCAGCCCCGACACCACCAGCCCTCCGCCCGAAAGCTGCCACGGCGC